GCGCAGCTCGTCAAGATCCCAAATTTGGCCGATCACAAATCCTGAAAGAGATCGACTTCACCCATGGATCTCCGACTTTGAACCATTTTGAGACACATTGTGACTATATTCACAGCATATCTGGAGCTTGGTATGTCCAGATCAACCATACAGTCAAATTCAGCTCTCATTCGATGATATCGAGGACCAAAAGTGCTATGATGTTTCATAGTCTCCCTGGTATAATGGTCTGCCTAGATGGTTGTCTTCAAACTCTTGACCCCTCATTAGTAGTGTGTTCAAGCCTTGATAAACTTTTGTGCTTTTTTGTTTCGGCTCTATGAGACAAACAAGTACAAGTCCAAAAAGGACGACATGTTTTTTTAAAAAACTTTTGTTCTTCTTGCTCAGTCAAGAGCTCACCATAGGATGATGATTGGATTGACAAATGTCCAAGATGTAAGCCTTGATTTCATTTCGGAATTTTAGCAAAAAAACTTAGGCTGCTCGGCCTTGAACCCAAGATGGCAGAAGCACCCACGTTGGCTAGTCACGCATTGTTAAGCCGTTCGACGAGAATCGCTTTCTTAAAATGGAATTAAAACAAATCTCGATAACATTCGCAGCGCGATAGAAATCGCATAGACCTGTGAGCATGATTCCATCATGATGAGGGAGATATTTGCGCTTTATGATTGATTTTAACATATCTCAATGTCAGAGATCCACAGGTGAAGTCGATCTCTTTCAGAATTGGTGATCGGCCAAACTTGGGTTCTTGTTGAGCTGCGCAGCGGCCTTGCAGCAGGCTGCGGCCAAATTCGAGCTCTCTTGTCTCTTGTTTGCGGTCGAACCGGGCAAGCTTTTTAGCAAAGGTAGTAACTCACCGATTTTGAAATTTCCACAATGGTGAAATTTTAACCGATCGTTAGTTAGCTTTTCGACAAAAAATCGGTAGGCTGGGACAAAGTTATCCCAGGCTACCGACGCGGTAGCTAACTCCATGCCCTCAAAAACTACCGAAAACGCAACCCTCAACTCGACTCACACCACACCTCATTTCCATTTTCACTCAATGATCTGGCCTCCACTCGTCCACCGCAATCTGTTTTGATTTCAACCAATACCACAACTACTCTGCCGCTTGACTCATCCCTCACCTCAATCGCTCGGCACTCCCATCATCTTCTAACACCACATTCCCTTCATTTTCAATAATGAATTTTCTAATCCAATCGGGTTTAATAAACTTGATTAAAACTCGAATAATGTCTTGATTCAACAATTTGATTTTTAATCGGTTGTTGGATTTAATGCATTGTCCAACATCCAATACATAGACAACAAAAGACCCGATTGTAAGAGGCAAAAATCAACTTCACATTGTGTGAGTTATACAACATGAGAGTTGGAGAAATTATAAAATGAATCAGTTGGTTGTTTAAATCAGCAGACATCAAGTATAAAGTGACAAGTTGATATCGTTATGAAAATGTGAAGTGAGCATCGGAATGATCAGAGAAATTTGTTGATTGTGTTAAATTTGGGGACAGCTTACTCGTAACTTGAAGCAAACGATTGTAGACCGAGTCTTTAATCTGGAGTTAAAGATGTCTAAACTCCAAGTTAAAGACAATGACTGTGGGATTTGGCAAGAGATTAGTTGGCCCCGGCTAACGATCGTTAACTTTACACCACAGGGGTGTTTTGCCCGCCTGCAGGCGGTCCATCCAGGCCACCTGGAGACGGTCTGCCCTTCTGCCAAGGTAGGCGGTCTCCACGTGGCCCTCACGCGCGACGTCTGGCAGGCACCTGCTGGGCTCGCCGGTAGGCTGGCTTGCTTGCGCCCGCTGACGGGCTGTGATCTGCCTTCCGTCCATCAAAAAAGCAGTTGTACACAGTATGTACATTAAGCTCAGAACCATGTCGTAGTCCTCAAGCAGATACTTCAGAATTTCCATGAAGGATTTGTTACTTCGTATAAT